ATCTTAACTTTGTTATTGGTTAAGTCTGCTAATTCTAGAGAAGGAATTAGCTATGTCTTCTTTACCATTAAATAAAAATTTGCACATTATTAATAATTTCTTCTTTCTCATAATAGGTATGCAGAGATTTACAATCACTGACTTCAATTTTGTATTCTAGATGAGTGCAAAGTGGTTCAGGACGGAGACTTTAAAAGAGGTGTGTTTTTTTTATTTTGCAGAGTGAGTGTTTGCTTGGGCTGGTGAACAGTGGAGAATTACCTGCTTTTTGTTTTAATTAAAAAATATATTGTTTTTATTTATGACCTAGATGGGTGACATAATCTAAAATGCAAACCAAAATGGCCTTATCTATATTAACCAGATTGGCTATTCTAAAAAATAAATTTTCACTGAAATTTTTCCTATTTTGAGCGTTTTAAACTATGGTAAAAATAACATGATTCACTTTTAAAAGAAATTGTAGGGCAATGCGCAGGAAATACAAAATAGGAAAAACAAGTTTTTTATACTACGTTAAGATGAGAGTTTAATCAATGCAAGGTGCATGAATTCGATATGAGAAAATATTTTTTGATTTTTTTAGAATATTAATTAATGTAAGAAGTTTTTTTATTAAGTTAAAGTTTTCTAAAGTAATATGATGAGAGTGAATTTTCTTATTATTTTTCTTATAAAAAAAATTTTTTCATTTTAAATCAGTTTTATTTCGATAATTTTGATAATAAAATAAAGGAGATTGCAATTTAACATGGGAAACAAACCTATTTTGGATTTTTTTTTAGAAGCATGATTTATTTATTATTTTTATTTGTTATTTGCGTAACATGCGTTAAAAAATTTTTTTATTATTTTTTTTTTATGATTTATTAAAAATATATAAAAGCCATCGATTCACAAGAGGGTGAGCATTATACTCTTAGATTTAGGATTCATTATTCATATTCTAAATCCAATAATCTAAATCTAAGAGTATACATTGCAATGTTTTGATGATCGTTTACCTGGAAGTTTATGGTCACTTTATTTTAAAAAGCATAAAAAAAAATTGCAATACAATTTTTGTACAATAGGAAAAAGTTAGATAAAATAAATTAATGATGATCATAATGATCATATGAAGTGGTCGTGTAGTGAAACATGTAAAATTAAAAGAACAATAAACAATTATTAATTTTTTAACCTTCGATATTAAGTATTTTATTATATTAATAAATATATTTTAATTATTTGAAATACTTCATATACAATATCTTCTATTATATAAGAGGGTGACATAATTTCCTGATGACCCTATAAAAAATTTTGTCCGTTATTTCTGCAAACTTCGTAAAAATGAGATTTTCACGGATCCATTAACGGAAAATGAAAATAATTCAAAAAATTCCGTGATATAAGGTTATTAATTCCGGACATATAAGTATTTTACGGAAAAAAGATGGAATATAAAAACGGATCGACTTTTTTTACAGGGGGAGGAGGAATCAAGTCTAGGATGCATTTTTAGTAATAATAAAATATAATTAGATGATGATGACAGGGTGAGGGGAGAGGTTCTAAAACTTCAACCCCTAAATGATATCGTTTCTGGCCCTCCCCTAATTTGTTTTTCTTCTACTTTAACCACAAAATTAAAAAGGTATTGAAGAAATTTAATTTTTAATTAATACTCTAAATAATATCGATAAGAAATTCGGATTATCCTAACAATTTAATATGGTACTTGCAAATCTTGCAAATAAATACCTCAGGTGGGATAGACAAAATGAATCACAATTATTACGATATTTTATAATTCATTAATAAAATTGTCTGTCATAATTCTTTTTTTAATTACTAAATAAGATCAGGTCTGATAATTAATAAATCATATATTTAACACATACCTAACTGCACTACCTAAAAAAAAATATCAAATACTCAAATTTTGTAAATTATCTACATACGGTACATAAAAATGCTCGTTATAATTAATGATATTTAGAAACGAATTACGGATGTAATTTTCAGTCAAACCTACTGTACATACTGATGTACATGCATAACAATAGATTTAGAGTATAATTTGCCCGCCCTACAAAGCAAAATATTTTAGCTAAAAAGAAATAAAAAAAGAAATAACGCAATTCTGCAGATCATTCGGGAGTTATGATGGCTAGTGATCTCATGTGAAATTTTATTTTAACAGAACATGATCTCCATCAAAATGAATCCAATTTTTAAGAATACGTAAATTTGAATGAAAATGTAATAAATATAAATAATAAGATTTATACTAGATAGAAGTTTATTGATTTTAAATATATAAAATTGGTTGAAAAAATTCTTACCTGGGGTAAAGGCGTAAAGCTCCTTATTAAACTAATATTTGGTAACATATGTCACCTAACCGAATTTGTAGTTTTTATAATAAAAAAAAATCGTACAAATCATTTACGATTTATTATTAAGAGTTATAAATAATCGTCGTAATCATTTCCCCCAATTTGAAACCTTTTCTTTTTTTTAAAAAAAAATTAAACCTTAAGAATTTTTTAAAATGGGTAAAAATATCGTCGTATTGTGTGACGGCACTTGGAATAGTAAAAATTCAAGAACTAACGTTTATGCGTTATACAGAGAATTAATACTTGGGCAACAACATGTCAGGTACATAAATGGAGTCGGAATTGGAGAATCGGCCTTGGGTTTTATAATCGATGGTGCTGTAGCTCTAAGCCTTGATACTAAAATAAAAGAGGGTTATAAATATATAGTTGAACACTATAAACCTGGTGACGATATATGGCTTTTTGGTTTTAGTCGTGGTGCCTATACTGTGAGATGTATTGCTGGAATGATAAGAAATTGTGGAATAATAAAAGTAGATCGAGATATCACATCCGAGCAAGTTGACGAACGTGTTGATCGTGCTTATCATAACTACCGTAATAGAGATAAGATTTACCACCCGGAAGGAACTGGATCTGACGAATTCAAAAAAAAATTCAGTTATCCTGACTCTGAAAAACCAGTCATTAAATTTCTTGGACTTTGGGAAACTGTTGGTGCTCATGGTTTACCTGTATATGTAGTTGGCGAAGGTTTCAAATATTTAGAATTTTACGATCAAGTCGTACCCAATATAGTTAATTTTGCGTGTCAAGCTTTGGCTATTCACGAAAGAACTTCTTTTTTTGAACCTTGTCATATATATCCAAATAGTTCCGGTACCGTAACTGTCAAAGAGACTTGGTTTCCTGGTATACATAGTGAAATATGTGGTGGAACTTATTTATCATTTGGAGGTAACGAAAGAATATCAAAAGCAACTATGCTATGGATGATAGAACATATTGTACAAATTGGAGGTTTGTTAATGCGAGATGATCTTGAGGGTTATCGTACTCGATTCTCTCCATATTACGGACCTTCTTGGAACCTTAAAAATTTAATATTCGATAATGGCAACGCTCTTATCCCAATGCTGCTTAAAGACAGGACTATTCCTTTAGAATTAGATCCTATTAGTAAAAAGTTTTTAAGAAAAGATTTACTTTATAGAGATAGTGACTGGTTACTTCTATTTGGTACTAGGACCAATCTGCATACTCATTATGGTTCGAATACGTATGAAGAGTTGCGTAAAATTATGGAAACGAAGAGAATCATGCTATATAACAATATAATATACGACAAGGTTGCAAACGAAAAGAGCGAAAATATATTTGAGTGGCTCGTTTATAATATAACATCACTTAGGATTATGAGTTATTTTTATTAGTTTAGTAATTATAGAAAAAAATAATTTAGAATTAAAGCTTGGAACCGGTTAATGTTAACCAGTAAAGACATCTATTAACCGGTTAATTTATTCGGTAAAAATACAGACGAGATTATGGTCATTTACAAGTATAATATTATAGTATTATGGTAAAATTGTTAACAAAAAAAGGCTATTTATATAATTTATGTTTTACACTTTAAATGTTAAAAAATATATATTAACTAAAAACTGGTGCTTGATTCTTGCTGGAATTAAAGATTTAAAATTTGCGTAATGTATTTAACTCCGGTCAAATTTTAATGCCGGCCAGAATTAAGTTTTAACCGCCCGGACAAGATTTTTGAACATTCCAAGCTTTATATAGAATTTATTTTATTTATTTATTTATTTTTTTTGAAATAAATTTCTTATTTTACTTACAGTATATGATATGTTTGACTATAAAATTTAACGTGCAGTTTAAGATAACTAGCCCTTATTATTTATGGTACAGTGATTTATACTCTAGTCATTTTACACTATTTCGTTCGTTATTATGGTTAAAATACAGTTATTCATATTACAAAATATATAAATCTTTGTGTACCAAATCGTTTTTCCTGATGGTTCATGTTTTGTTTTAAACTCTTGAAATGAAGTCAACAATGTAATTTCTCTTTGGTGTATCTTAATGTTGCAGGTAACAGATCTTCGTGCTTTGGTTAAAAAAGTGGCGTTTCCGGATAAGTTATTAATTTTCGATAGGATGTTAGAAGGGAAAGTCAGGTACTATATTTTGTGTATTGATATATTTGAGTATTCAAAAGGAAGTTGATCTTAGTTGTACGTAAGTCGTTGATAGAAGGAAAAAGCTATTGCGAATCACATTATGGAACATATTTCTAATTTTCTCGTGAAATTAACAAAGCATGATCAAGTTATGTTCAAGAATTTGATCGAGAAACGTACACTAAAATTTTGACATTATTATTAAATCTTTATTTTATTTATGTCTTTTTTATTAGGGAAATAGTAAATTTAAACTGAATGATTAATTTCGATTGGAACTATTTTAACGGTTAAAAATAACGGTCAATATATATTAGAGACTTTAATATTTTAGTGTTTACTATATGTTCACATACTGTACGTCACGAAATTGCGTGTTTAACTGTTAACACTGCGTTCGCTTTGCGTGTGAATATTACGAAAAAATTTGGGAAACGTTATGCCATTTTGAAAAAACAATAATAAACATGAATTTAGCAACACTTAACAACACTTACTAATATAGATGATGTGGCGTCAATGCCGTTTTGCGTCAGCTGACAGCTGACGTTACATCAGATGACGGCTGGCCTAGTAATGCTGGCCTGGCCAACCCAGGCATTATAATATTGGGCAATATTGGGCTAATTATGTAGGCCGACGTTATCTGAACAATATAGATATAGGAAAAAGTTAATTTCCTTAAATAGTTATAAGGCCACACAAATCAATTTTTCGATTCACGTAACATTGAAATTTAAAATCGACCCGGGACTCGGGTTTATTGTTTATTAGTAGAAAAAGTTTATATATAAAATTGTGACATTTGATTGGTTGACTTTTAAAAGGGAGGAATTTATTTTCGCTCTAGAAGTTCTCAGCCGCGTGATAAACTTACCCGCCAATAAAATTACGTCCTGATCACGTGATAATTTTTTTAATATATAAACTTTTTTTTATTGAAATTTGCCGGCCGGGTGAAGTGAACCGAAAATTCGAATTTGTGTGGCCTAATATATAATATAGTACAACCATACACCTGAATATACACATTTGTAAAAAAAAATTAACGACTTTTTTATAGCGACCCTAATAAGCGTTTTTCTAAATATGGTCGCACGTGTTAATTTTTTAGCTTCAGTTCTTTTACAACTTTGATACCATGAAAAAAAAAAATTTATAAACGGAAGAATTATAAATTGTTACCATAAATTATTTTCGTAGTAATATATTCACTTGACTTTTTATGAACAATAAAATAATATATTTAATTTATTATTATTATTATTATTTTAATATTACAGCGTATATGAATTGATTCTTTACTTTCTCCAATAACGCTCAATTGAGAAAATTAAATTAAAATGAAACATCTTATAAACAACTATTAAATAAAAATTAGAGTAATTCAAAAACGGGATATTCAATAAATTGGATCCCGATCTAAACTTTAAAATTCTGCAGAGTGCAGATCATTCGAGAATCGGGAGTTACCAAAAATTGGCATGTGAAGCTTTTTATTGTTAAACGGAACTGAACATGATCTCCGTGATTGTTTATCCAATCATATAAACAGTTGATGTAGTTACTGTTTTGGCTGAAACATGTTTTTAAGAATAGAAAATTTGATATAAATCATTACTATTGTTATAAATATGGAATAATTGTGTAAATAATAAGATTTATACTAGTTAAAAGTTTAGGTTACGCGAACCAAAAAATCCAAGTTTGTCAAACCATATCATATATATTGTAATACTTTATCAATTGGAATGCGTTACAATATGTATTACAATCATTTAATGAAACACAGTGTTTTCTAATTCCATTCATTTCTTGTTTTTAAAAATCCATGTGATCAGTATTCATCTATGAAAGCTTTTATGATTATTAATAAATTTATTCAAAGTCGATTTTCCTTTTTAATTGCTGTCTCAACTGTGCCTATTAAATCCTGATTTAACAGGATTTGTAATGTACGACGAAATATAACTGAATTTTTTTTTTGAATGACAAGCCTTAAAAGCTTTTGAAAGTATTTCTTTACAATTACAATACACAAGATGTCTTCTGCGTGAGCTTTTGAAAGTACTTCTTTACAATTACAATACACAATATGTCTTCTGCGTATTATGAAAAGCTTTTGAAAGTATTTCTTTACAACAATTACAATACATAATATGTCTACTACGTAAATATTTTTTATTATGTTTCGAGAATTTTATTATTTTATTACCAAAATAGCGAAATGAGGCTTATGATAATCACTTTACAGAATACACAGAATTTGGTTTGTTTATGTCGTACTAATGCTCACGATTCTCCTAAAACGTATTTTATTATATTTATAAGTAAATTACATTAATAAAATTCCTGACTGTACCAAATCGATACAGTTTCTACCCTGTTATTTTTGCTTTTATGTCAAAAAATCATTCAAAATACATATTTGTACTTCTTCGTGTGAAAAAAAGGGGAACAATTAAAAAAGAAGGAAATTTAAAATAATTAAAAAGAATTTTTCAGTAATATTTGTGCGGTATTTTGGAAAGTTATATAGTACGATTGAGAATTTATGTATAGTATGGTTAAAATGATCTACGTATGTATGATTTTTATGATTTTAAAGTAGTATGTACGATTCACGTTTATACATACATACTTAGATTACTATATATAAAAAAAATCTTTTATTATTATACTGAAATTTAAACCTGATTCTGATATTCAATTGGAACAGTGGCATAATGAACTTTTTGTACATGTATGTGCCTTTCTTGAAAATATTGCAATTGAGTCTTCTTCTTCATTGCTTATATCAGTATCTTTATTACTTTCAATAGTATTACTATCACTTTCAACTTGATATTCCTTTAAGAAATGCAAAAGAAAATTAATTTATTAAAAAACTTAGCCTTACATATTTTACTTATAGGATCTTACTCAATATAATCAATATCAAGTTCTTTGATATCTGAAGGTCTACTTTCTCACTCATTTTTATTTATTTTGGATAAAAATATTTTTTCGCCAATAGAGAAAAAATTTTTTTCGTTAATTATAAGCCACAATCATAGAGACGTCGTGCTATATCTGATATTATTGTTTATTGCACGTGTTTCATTGTATCATATCACAAAATATTTTAGTATGATATTTATAATTTATTGTATCACATAGTATAATATTCATGTTAGTATGGTAATTTGTCTTATCATACATACTAAATTTATAAATCATACTATGATACTGATTTACTATATACCCATATTTGTGAAATAAGAACAATAAAAAAAAAACCATATTAGAAGAGGGAATTTTTTTTTAAAGCATTTTTAAACAAATAAAATAAAATATATTATATTAATTGATTTTAAATGGAAATTTTGTTAGATTATTCCGATGATTGCAACAATTATTAGCACTATTTTTAAATTTATTATTATGGAAATGGAACTCCTAAACTTAATTTCACCAAAAATGGAATATTATAACCTTTCAAACAATAAACAAAAATAGAAATTCAAGTATTTCTTTGTGGATTTTTACGCCACAGCACGAAACTGATTTTTATCAATGGCCGAATTGGTAGCTTTTATTTCTCAAAATAAATATACAATTCATTTACGATTTATTATTATGCAAAAGAGTTATAAATAATCGTAATAATTTCTTTCCTCAAATTTACAAAACATTGAAATCTTATTCTTTTTTTTAAAAAAAAATTAAACCTCAAGAATTTTGCAAAAATGGGTAAAAATATCGTCGTATTGTGTGACGGCACTTGGAATGGTGCAAACTCCGGAACTAACATTTATAAGTTATATAAAGAATTAATACTTGAGCAACAACATGTCAAGTACATAAACGGTGTTGGAATTGGAAAATCGGCCTTGGGTTTTATAATCGATGGTGCTGTAGCTCTAAGCCTTGATACTAAAATAAAAGAGGGTTATAAATATATAGTTGAACACTATAATCCTGGTGACGATATATGGCTTTTCGGCTTTAGCCGTGGTGCTTATACCGTGAGATGTATTGTTGGAATGATAAGAAATTGTGGGATACTAAAAGTGGATCAAAACAACACATCTGAGCAAGTTGACGAACGTGTTGATCATGCTTATCTTATCTATCGTAATAGAGACAGGAATTACCACCCGGAAGGAACTGGATCTGACGAATTCAAAAAAAAATTAAGTCATCCTGACTCTAAAAAGCCAGTTATTAAGTTTCTTGGACTTTGGGACACTGTTGGTGCTCTTGGCCTACCCATATATGATATTGACGAAGGTTTCAAATATTTAGAATTTTACGATCAAGTCGTGCCCAATGTAGTTAATTGTGCGTGTCAAGCTTTGGCTATTCACGAAAGAAATGCTTTTTTCGAGCCTTGCCATATATATCCAAATAGTTCCCGTACCGTAACTGTCAAAGAGACTTGGTTTCCTGGTATACATAATGAAATAGGCGGTGGAACTTTTTTATCATTTGGAGGAAATGAAAGAATATCAAAAGCAACTATGCTTTGGATGATAGAACATGTTGTACAAATTGGAGGTTTGTTAATGCGAGATGATCTTGAGGGTTATCGTACTCGATTAGATTACGGACCTTCTTGGAACCTCATAAATTTAATATTTGACAATTATAATGCTCTATTCCCAACGCCCATGCTTAAAGACAGAGTTATTCGTCTAAAATTAGATCCTAGTGAAAAATTTTTAAGAAAAGATCTACTTTATAGAGATGGTGACTGGTTACTTCCATTTGGTACCAGGTCCCATCTGCGTACTCATTATGGTTCGAAAACGTACGAAGTGTTGCGTAATTCTATGGAAATAAAGGAAATCATGCTATACAACAATATAATATACGACAAGGACGTAAATGAAAAGAGCAAAAATATATTTGAATGGCTCATTTATAATATTTTACTTAGGATTATGACTTATTTCATTTGTTTAGTACTTATTATGAAAAAAAATAATTTGTAAAATATAGAATTAGATTAAGACATCTATTAACCGGTTAATTTATTCGGTAAAAGCGCAGATCACTGGTTTATATTAACATTATGAAAAATTGTTAGCAAAATACTTCAAGTATTAATAACTATAAACTGGTACTTAATTCTTGCTGGAATTAAGATTTAAATTTTGCAACTCCGGCGGTCAAATGTTAATGCCGGCGGCCGGCCAGAATTAAGTTTTAACTGATTAATTAACCGGTCGAGGTTTTTGAACTTTTATTTTTATTTTTTTTTTGAAATAAATTTCTTTTTTACCTACAATAAATGATATGTTTTTATTATAAAAATTTAACGTGCAGTTTAAGATAACTAATAACGAACGAAATATTCGAGATATTAGTGTAACAATGACTAAAGAATAAATAGAGCTAACCCACTCACCCACTGTTGCTAGACCATAAATAATAGTTATGTTAGGGCTAAACTAATTTTGACAGGAATTAATATTTCGCACTTCTTGATGAAATTACTTTGATATTGATTAAAATACGGATTATTATTACCTAGTTAGTTATTCATAATAATAAATAGGTTTTTAAAATATATTACATCATTCTAACCCATAAATTTCGGGTAAGCGACGCGCTTTTTCAATCATTAGAAAAAGAAAGAACAGCACGAATTTATAGAATATAAATATAAATTCATTAGTGTACTCTTCGCTTAAATTTAAATGACATTTGTGTAATGAATTCACTTTAGGTACAAATACAACTTGTTTATCCTGTTTATGAATTGTTGTCAAATGAAGGTCTCGTTTCTATAATAACTAATTGAATGAATTTCTTTCTGAAGATTCACAATACTAAATTAAAAAAAAAATGTTAGTAATGGAACTTGTAAATTAGGTCGATATATTTCATTTTGCAATTTAGCTTTAGCAGCAAATTCTCGAATAGCTGAAATTGGCACGATATAATAAAAGTCTAAATGATTTTACTGGTTGAACGATAAAATAAAATACTAAATGATTTAATGTTTTATATATTTTTTGAATTAGAGATATATTTTTTTTTTTAAACAAAAAAGCACTCGTCTACTTTCATAGTCCCAAATACTGTGGGAAGGAATTAATCAAAGAAAATTGTATCCCGCACGATTATTCTGATGTAGGTTACTTGATTTTTATAATCATCCCTATTATGAACAATATAATAATGTAATTAGAATTTGAATATTATTGATTAAATAATTCATTATTCTGGTAATTAAATAATTCATTATTTATTGAATAATTATTAAAAAGCTAACAATTCCATTTGATAGAATCATTACAAAATTGATACTTTTAGTGAAATTTAATGGGAGACAAAATCAAATATAATTTTCAAGCAGGCACAAAAAATAGTTGATAGTGATAACAAATAAGAAGCGTCAATTAATATACAAAAGATTTAATGAGCATTGTAAATAATACTTTTGAGGCATGCGAAACTTGTTATATGGTTGTACATATCTGGATCCAGAGAAGTGCAAGGACATAAACTCTAATCTAGTAAAGTGAGTGATTTGACTGGCACTTTCTACTCATAATTTACTGTCGTCACCCTTTATACAGAGCATGAAAAATTCGCGGAAGAAAGTGGAAACCTTTGCTGCGGGTAATAAATTGTCAACTGCTATAACAAAATGACACATTTACAAAATGAAAATTTCGTCGACTCGCATGAATCTGATGCCACTTTGTTTATAGACCGAAGTATAAAAATCCAGATCGTGCTCTTTCAAAATACGTGCCTATACTATGAAGCAAATATTTATTCAAGATTATATACTATTTATTCGGAATATTAAAAATATTTGTATGATACATAATTTAAAGTAAACTATTCTTTAATTTAATCTTATTGATCGTAAAGTTAAACTTTACGATAACGAAATTGAGGTTATTGTTGCCAAAATTACTAAATATGGTATTTTTTAAATATATACAGAAGAAAAAATGGAGAAATAAATGCTTCATTTGTAATGATAACATAGTTCCTTGTGAATATTTTTATTTTAACTTCGTCGTATCACGTAATAGTTACGTCTACTTACTATCAGATAATTATTAATAGCCATAAATTTAATATTGGATAATGATCGGGATAATGAATTTCGGAAATATTAAAATTTTGGAAGCTGAATTTTCGAGAAGCCCTTAAGAACTTGATTTTTCCAGTTGAGATTTTCCAGGGTGACTAACCATAGGTGTTATTTCACGATTATTTCCCAGTTGAGTTCCAACCATTTCAGATAAAGATTATGTCTTTCTCTTTCTTCAGTTATATTTTTAAAAGCTATCTATTAACTGTCAAAATTCGAATAATTTTTTGTAATTATAATATTATAAAAGAGATATATTTTTAAAATTATTTATCGATTTGCAAGAATTCTATTTAATAAAATTTTTAAAATTTTTGGTCCGGGAAAGATCTGCTTTAATTTGTTATGTTATGATAATTCTGTTTGATCCTTAAACACAATCTACTATTGTTGTAATTTTTTCTCACCTGCTGATCGATTCGCGTCTAAACATTTTTTATTCAAATCCACAGGCCTTGGTCTAAAAATATTTATTTTTTAAACTATCATCATGGCTCACATCATGATATGGAGGTAATAGATGTCAGCGTCTTTAGTATAATTTGTCCTCTTAAATTCTCAGGAGCAATATGTGGTAAAACACTGTATGTACCATTTTCCGTATTTCCCGTTACATTGTAATCTGCAGGTTTATATCGGAACTTTTGTGTTTGAGAATACGATTGTAATTTATTATCATATGGAGGAATTTTGAAATTAACTTTCCAATAATTATTAAATTCAATACAGTTGGAAATTTTTCTACCGTTTCATTCGTTAAATATCATATTTTACCAAAATCGAGTGTAAATTAGCATCCATTAATAATTACTTTCCCTTAAAATACAGTATGAGAAAAGAACAACATTATTTTCTACGAATAATCCATCTTTAATTGCTAAAAGAGATATAATTTCAACTAGTTCATTATTTGTTCGGCTTTTTATGAATTTTATTTAAAACTATTATTTCTTTATAGTCGAAAGCAAAAGTAAAAATAATTTAGTTAAAAATCAGTGTTTTTTTTTGACATAATAATTAATGATTTAACGATTTACGATAATCTTCTAATCTCACTAGCGGATAACCATTAAAATTTATTGTTTAAAAAAAAAGTTACATACTGTACAGTACATACATAAAAAAATAAAATAAAAAAAACAAAAAATATTACATTTGTACATTTTTGTAAAAATTTAGAGAGGTCCGTCCTCCACTTTTATAATTTTCACTTATTCATTCTTCACGCCCATTTCGTAAAAGTCCTTATCTGATCGTTATCATAATTAAATAAAAATTAATTAGTTTAATTATTTGATGGTAATAAGAAAATGAATATTTACCTTAATTTTCAATTAATCTATCTCTATTCAATACATCTTTCATTAATCTAGAATAATTTTTGCAATCTTCTTCTACATCTTTCCATCTTCTTTCAATTTGATTAGCAATTTGATATCTTTTAACACGCGCATTTTCATTATTAAATCTTGCAAGATTATTAATAAGATATTTAATTCTTTCAGTTTGTTCAGACCAAAAAACTTCTACTTTACCAATTTCTACAACAATAGAATTTAAACCATCACAAACTTGATTTATTTTCTCAACCAAATTATCTCGTTCACGTTTCATGGTCACATCATTACAAAGAATACCAGCAGATCCAGTTGCATAAACTGATGCAGCAAGTAATAAACAATCAGCGAATACAGAACCCCCGAGAAAAGCTAATGTTCCAAGTGTTCCATAAATAGGGTGATCCTTAAAAATTTGTAATATATTACTCAAATTTGCTCTAACTGAGGACTTTTGTACAGAATCAATTTTATGAGGAGATCTATTAATATCATCAATATATTCTTTTAAAAAGTTATGAATTTTTGTTAATTTCTCTTTCATTCCAATAGTTCCATCATCAAGAATTATATTTAATTTTTCTTTAAACTCAGTTTCATTAATTTCTTCTTTACCAGTTCCTTTAGATATTATATTTTTTAATTCTTTAGTTGTTTTATAATTTCTTTCTGATTTTTCTAAAAGGTCTCTTAATAAATCTAAATTTTCTTCATTAGAAAATTGATCAGTATTTTTAAAACATTCAACGAAAAATAAAATATCAATTGAAAATGCTGATAAATTATTGCTAGATTTTATTGAAGCTTCAATAAATTCACGAAAAACTTCACGTTGTTCTCCTATTGCTTGATTAATAACAGTCATTATTTCACTATTATCAATTATAATATCTTCTGAACATTTTTTAAAATTTGTGACGATAGTTTGACCAAGATTATTAATAAAATTTGGTGCTACATCATTTTCGAATAAATTAATGTTAATAGATTCAGAAGATTCAGATAATAATGAAGTTGATGAAGTTCTACGATTATTTATAGTAGATTCAGACATATTTCCGTCAATATTTGTCATATAAGTTTTTTTTTTTTTTTAAGAGAGAAAGTTTTGAAAAAAAGAAAAAATGTTTACAAAATGAAATTATATTCGGTTATTAAAAATAAGGACGATCGCTAAATAATTGGTTAGATCATAACTATTCATGTAGTACGTACATACAACCTTAATAAAAAACTTGATAGTAAGGCGCAATCACCTAATGCGCCAAATGATTTCTAAAAATATGCAACGATACAAAAGTAGACAAGATCATGGAAAGAAAATCTATAAACATTTCTAAATTGTTCATTTTAACAACGTAATTTTGGTCGATATGAAAAACAAAAATTATTTAAAAAGTATAAATTAAAAAATGGATATTTTTTATATTAAAATTCTAAACATAATCAAGTTTGTATAGAATTTATATATTAATTTTAGTAATATTCCTAACTAAAAGCACATTTCAAAGAAAAAAAAAAAAAAAGGTAAAGAAAATTGTAACTATAATATTATTATTATTAACCATAAATTGTATAGTATGAAACAAAAGTTTAATGGCTTTTAATTTTAGTGAATCCAATGATTACTTAGATTTGCGTAATAATATTTTATTTTATATCGTGAAACTTAAAATATTAATAGTTAAATTTGATTTATTTAGGTAACAAGTCAATATACTATTAATAAAAAATTGCTATTATTATTTTGAACGATCAACACGCACTGCCTCAATGTGCTGCGTTACACGCAGATCGTATAGTATAAAAAAAGTAACCAGAAGTTTTTTCTTTCCTAAAAAACTTACATCACATCTTTTGACAATGAATAAATCAAAATTTAATAAAGTGTGGATATGTCGAAAATGTAAACAAATAAATACTGGAATTAAATGGTGTCATACATGTAATTCAAATCATTTTAAAAACAATTTCAAAAATTGGACAAGCGGTAATGATGATATTGATAAATTTTTACAAAATATTCAATTATCAGCGGACAATAATTTTAAGGTATTAGAGTGGATACCTTATGAGAGATTTTATAATATTGAATATATTGCAAGAGGAGGTTTTGGAACAGTGTATAAAGCAATTTGGATTGATGGATATATACGTGAACGGGATAATAAAAATCAAAATTGGAAAAGATCTGGTCAATATACGTTTGTAGCTCTGAAAAGTTTAAATTATTCAGAAAGTGTTATACCAAAAATTTTAAATGAGGTAAGATATAGTCATACATTTACGATAATCATTTAAGTAATATTTTTATTTAACCATTTTTTTTTTTAGATTATATTACATTATAAAACGAACGAATGTGGATCAAATATTGTTCAATTTTTTGGGATAACTCAAGAACCAAGAACGAAAAATTATATGATGGTTTTAGAATATGCGATTAATGGGAATTTACGAAATTATTTAGATAAGAATTATAATAATTTACGTTGGAAGAATAAGATTTTTGATTTATGTAATATCGTAGTTGGTCTTAGTCAAATTCATGATCAGGATTTAATTCATCGAGATTTACATATTGGAAATATATTAAAATTATCATTAAAAACTTCAATATGTGATATGGGATTATGTTCACCTGAATCTAAAGAGTTAGAAAGTACAAAAAATGGTTATATGGCGTTTTACCTTATATTGCTCCCGAAATTTTAAGAAGACAAAATTATTCTAAAGCTTCTGATATTTATAGTTTTGGTATAATTATGTATGAAATCATTTCAGGGTTACCTCCATATCATAATGTAGCTCACAATGAACTTTTAGCAATAAAAATTTGTCATGGACTTAGACCAAGATTTAATACTAAAGTACCTCAATCAATTGTTCACTTAATTAAGAGATGCTTAGATGCGAATCCATCAAATCGACCAACAGCGAATGAGATTAGAAAAATATTAAATCAATTAATTAATAACATTAGACATCAAGATGATCCAGATTTCAATTTATATATTAAAGAAGAAGAACAAGAAATTGAAAATAATTTTTTTCCTAATATAATATCTTCAAATACCGGTTCAATATTATCATATAAAACACATTCCGAAGCTATTTATACAAGTAGATTACTTGATTTTAATAATCTTCCTGAACCAAAAAATTCTGATGACTATTACGAACGATATGATGATATAATTAGCACTGAATATTCTGGTAATTAAATATTTTTTATCATTTTAAGTAAATATATTGAAAATTTTATGGATAACAAAAATTTGATTTATTCCATTTGATAGAATCATTACAAATTGATGTTTTTAGTGAAAATGAATGGGAGACATTCATCACATCAAAATTCAATCTTATATAGTAATTTTCAAGCATGTCAAAGAGAAAGTAAAACAACATGGACAATATCACGTAAAACTTCTCTTCATTTTATATTCTGAACGATCAATAGTAAATTCAAAATGATCGAAAAAGCGTTAGGTGATGAGAAATGGGAATATTTTATTTTAATTTCATTTGATTTACAAGATTAGTCTTGATTAATATTTCAGATATATTTATTTTATTTTATTTATTTTTTTTTTTCAATTATTATATCCACTTACAATAATTTAGAAATAGCAATAATTTCATCTATCATACAATTTCGTTCTTTTTTATGATTTTACAATTTTTTTTACATCTTCAATAATAATTCTTGGTGCAAAACGAGTGATACTTTTTGCTAACGCTTTTAATTATTATTTATTTCACGTGTAATGAAAGTCGTGCCTGAGAATAAATTAGTATATTTTTTATCAAGAATATTTTACTAAAGCGGTAGCATAGATGTCGCATGATGTTATTCATTATGTGATGATTTTGATTTAGCGTTCCCTTTACTTTATTGAATTACAAATTCAGCTTGTTGTACCTTAATTATACAGCATCACGTAATATATTTACGTAGATTTTCAAAAAAAAAAAATAATAAGTTTACATTTTACATGATTTACCGTCCCACAACATCTCTCAATTTAATAAAAATTCGCTAACCCTTACATTGATATGTATTGCATGGGTTGCACAATATTTTACTATACGAAAATTTCAATGAACGCCACAGATATTTTTAAGGCATGCAAACAAATTATGCTTGTTTGCCTGTTTGATGTAAATCATACATATCTGGATCCAGAAAAGTGCAAGGTTATAAACTTTGATTGACAAGTTATATCATAGCTCGAATTTACTTCACAAAATCGCAGAAGAAAGGAAACCTTGCTACAGATAATGAACTGTTAACTGTTATAACACAATGACACGAAAAAGGGACTAATTGCTATGCATGAAAAATTTTTTTTGGCGAGCTTGCTCCTCATTTACAAAATGAAATTAACAACCCACGGGAATACTGATGCCACCTTGTTTTATAGACTGAAGTATGAAGACCCAATATATCGTATACTTCTTCAAAACACGTTCCCAATTATAACAGAAATACTACGAAACAAGTATTTATTTAAGATTAATATGATATACATAGAATAATAAAAAAAAAAAAAAATTTTTTCGTCAATTCTTTTACAGCAAATTCATCCTTAAATCGAACTTTACGATAGATTAGCGCTTATTAATATAGAAGAAAAGATATACAATCGATTATAATGACAATATAATTGGATATTTACATATCGCGTAATAGTTACAGTAAATTTCATCTACTATCAATACTATAAAATATATTTAATATCATATATGGTATCTTACTTTATACCATATAGTATTTTTCACTTTTGTAAAAATTGTAATTTATAAAAAAGTAAATTAAAAATTTATTCAGGCTGGAATTGCGTGATTTCTATGGATCTTTTCATGTACGTCACGTGATTTAGATTATGAAAAATTTTGACTAATTTCATTTAACATTGATGGGATCTATCTCTAGTAACATTAAACTTTTACCAAAAAACTGACCAATTTTTCTAAAAATTGTTCATAGGGGGATTATAATTTTCAGCATCCTGCAATAGAAGTGAAAAATCATCATTTAGCCATGCCCAAGAGGTGGTACCTTCTTTAGGATAAGGTGCAGGTAACCAACCATGCGAGATACCCGCTATATTGCCTCCATTAGTATTTGGATCATAATTTCTTATCCAAGGACCCCCACTTGAGCCAGAACCAACATCTATAGATATACCCCTATGCCACTGGTAATTTGGAAGATTATTTGGAAACTCAAATGAATTTCCTTGCCACTCACAAAGGTGTTGTCCATCTCTGGGGCAGTCCATTTCACCAGAATTATATGGATAACCAAATACAGTTGTTTGATATTCTCCAGGAGGTACATTAAAGTCACAATCGAATGCTCCAGTATCATCTTGTAATTTTCTTCCATCTTGATAATAAAACTTTATAAAGCCATAGTCATACAGTGTTTCATCCTTCGTAAAATCTGACCATATACTAAATGTATGAGCCCTAACTGCTCCAAGACTACCTGGATTTCCATTGTTGTACCCAGGAAAGAAATAGAAATCAGTATTCCAATTCTCATCGATAATATCCCAAATACAATGTGCAGCGGTAATTGCTATATTTCCGTTATTAGTTCTAATTACAGTGGCGGTACAATAATCAGTTGATCCATCTGGTTTTACAAATCTTAAGAGTCCAATAGCACTGAAATTATTATCGTCAGCAAAAGTTCCTGTTGTATTACTCATTCTTTCTTCTGGAGGAATATCAACAAATTTACTCATAGATACCATTTTTGATTTTCTACCCATAGGTTTAGGAAATGCATAACTTGAATTCGTTATGATTAGTATCAATACAACAAATATACATAGTATATGTTTCTTGTTCATTTTCATTAAGGTAACGTATTTTTAAAATTGATTGGAATAATTGAATACACAGATATATGGCAGGAAAAGTTAGTCAATTTATATGTTTTAAAAAAAGACGTTTGATGCTACTACTTTCATTCTCTCATTCTGCTGTATATCATCATATGGCCTATATTAAAATTTAATTAACATGGCCCGACGAGAAAATAAAGAAAGATTAATCCGAATTCCCGAACTTTCGGACTTTCACTAAAAGGAGAAAAAAAAAGAAAATTGAAAACAATCCAAATGTCAAATGTCAAACATTTCCATAATCGAACACACAGAACACACATTCATAGTTTCATGTGATTATCGACATCATTCAGCTAGTATGATAAGTATGATATCGATAGGTGAGCTCTTTTAAATATGCTAATAGGAATAGATCGTAAGGATGTACATTAGTAGATCCATGCGATTAATGAAACCTATAGAGCGCAGTGACTAGGAGCATGACAGAGAGCTTCAAGGTCCAGTATCACGTGCTTTTAGCCCGGTATATAATAATATAGTATAAGTACAAAATCAATTTTTGTTATATATCAAATTTTGTGCATGCTAATACTTTTTTTATGATGATGAGAATAACTTTAAATATTGACCAGCAACTATCCGCTATTTTTTCAAACATTCAATATGTTGGACATACATACACATATACCTTCTGCCTACCTTAAATAGAACTGATACTAACAATAGTCAGGAATTAGGAAAACTTTTTCTTTTTTTTTTAAAAAAAAAAAAATTTCTCACGAAGAACCAATTAATATGTATTATATATTAAATACTATTTCTTTAAAGGATACGTAATGACTACGCTTGGAGAACATAATGCCCGCTGAATTATCAAAATAAGAAAGAATCTACAAACATTTTACACAGTGTCACAGCCGGTATATTTATTCATTATTATTTTAACTCCATAAAATCGACATTCTACAATCCCGACACCAAGATCCTGACAAACCCAAATCCCGTTGAAATAAAATCCCGATAGTCACAAATTCTGACAGTTAAAAATCTTGACAGTCAAAATCCCAAAGTTTTTTTTTTTTTAAAAAAAAATTATATAAAATTTTCATAATTTTAACACAGTAACGGGCTAATTTATTCAATATAATTAAATATAATCTGTAAATTTTATTAATACCAATGTAAATTGTTTGCAAATTTTATTAATATTAATGCAAATTAACTAACGTTACTATATTATTAATAGTTAAAAGGATTATGTACAGTATATTATTAGGTTCATCATGGCGGATTTATGAAATTGTCCGTAATGTCAAATTAAATAAATTAGTCACCAAATTTCTATTTAAGTCCCAAATTTATTAGTGAACAGTCAAAGATGAGCTCTAAAAAATTTTTTTGTACCCCAAATCTTGCGTCTAACCAATTTTTCCGTTACCTAAACAATTTTTCCAGTGTTAAAGGTACGTCATTATTTGACATTTTTTCTTAATGTTTCTGTAAGTCAATTTTAATTCCTGAGGGCGCAGCAGGGTTTTTGCCAAATTTCATAAATCCACCGCAATGTACTAAACTATTCCTTATCTTCTAAAATTAGAAATAATTGCATTAAAAAAATTAAGTAATCCTAAATTCATATCGAATCTCAGACAAGATTTTGGCTGTCAAGATTTTAGATCAGGATTCTGTGACTGTCAGGATTTTGATTCAATCCTTTGCTTCTCTAGTTGCTCTAGTTGTGTGACTAGCAGCCAGCTGTAGTGTTTCCTATCCAGATCGAAACACTAGCCAGCCGTCACGCTGGCAATTTCCGAAATGATAAAGTTCAATGAAGTAATTCGCACGCCTAGATATTAGTATGATCATCAATCAAATGATGAAATAGTATGTGATTATAATTTCTGCATTAAAACCTAAACCTAATTGTATTATAGTATAAAAACTAATTACGTAATTTTTCTAATAAGAAGTTTTTGTCAGGATTTTGTGGTAAACTCACTATATAACATTAAAAACTTATTAGTTAACTATCCATAATTTTCTAGAAATACTTCATAAATTTTAAGAGAAAAAAGAAGAAAGGAAAAGAAATTTATTGCATAAAAGTGTCTACACGCATCAGTCGCAATCACGTTAAATGATAATTTTTTTTTAATGATGGGCCTCATGAAATCAAACTATAAATTATTAAATTTCACTCAATTACTAAAAAAAAAAATGCTGCCTCATTTTTCAAAGATTTATAATTATTTCATTTTCACAAGTTTTATTGTCGCATTTTGCATTTTCACAATTATTTGACTAAGCCGAGCCGAGCCAACGAATTAATAGATTTTAAATATAGAATTTACGAAGTGATCAGCTGATTATCATATCATTTTTGCTCGTGCGAAATACACGTAATAAAAATAATTAATTTTTAAGAATAATTTTTACTTTATTCAGTTTATTGTTTAAAATCTCTTCTTGAGTTCAATAAATTTAGAACAATTCCTGATGTCTATATGAATTGAACCACTCCAACAATAGAATCCGAATCCGATTTAACCACAAGAAAATACGCGAAACTATGAAAAAAATTAGATTATTTTTCATTTTTATTCCGTTGTTTATAATTTGGGTAATATAAAACGTGATTTATTGGTTAATGATAGCGAATAAATGAATAAATTTATAAAATATTGTGAGATATTATTACAAAAAATAAATAATTATCGACATGAATTCGAAGAAAAACTCTACGCCATTACAATGTTAATTTTGGTCAAAATTACGTTATCTTCCACTGAATTAAATAAGTCCAATTCTATTGAATCTTGAGTTTATTTAATAAATCTTGTTTCATTTCCGGAAAATCATTTTTACTCCAATTATCCTTAATAATTAATTCTTCAATTTCTTCTTGAACTTCATTAAAATTAGCATTAAAATATCTGAAAAAATTAATTAATTATAAATCAGAAAAAAAATCAAAAAAAAAAAGTTTAAATAAATAATTTAATAAATAGACATACAATACTTCAGGAAACCATTTTCGCCAACGTCTCTGACACGGTAATAGGTAAAATAATTCAATATCAGCTACAACCTACAAGAAATTGAAAATTTTAGTATTTTCAAGTGCAAGAATTTTATATTAATTAATAACGGTATTATACCTCCGCCATCATTTTCCAATATGAAGCTTGAACATCATCGTCTTTCTTCACCTCACTAAATAGCGTAATAAAAACATTCAACATAAATATAATCATTATGACTATAAAGGAACCCATCAATATTACTAGTGACGGATTTTTTTCATATGGCCAATTGGAAAATGAACTCGTGTCGCCTAATAATTGGATAAATTAACTATCGTTGAATACTTTTTTTAGTGAAAAAATAAATATAAGTATACCTGTGAGTAATAAACTCGTTGCAAAAAATGAAGTAGAGAAGTCTGTAAACGTGTTTGTGTTCTCATCAGGTTTTTGTAAAATAAATAAATTATTATTTAAAACGTTAGTAGTTTCAGTAGTTTCATTTTCATATACTTGATAAGTAGGGATCAAATTCCAAGGATTATTAGGGTCATCGTTAACTATACGTTTGTCTAAAGAATAACTCGATTTTGGTGATAATAGAACATAAAACGCGAGTGCGTAACTAAATAAAATCATCAATATGATGCAAAAAAAGAAAAACCGTAGCTGTTCCGAAATTTTAATGAGAATTATGTAACATGGACCATAAAATCTAGTTATATTAAAAAATGATAATAACTTCAAAAATAAAAATAGGCATGAAAAAGACAGATATGGAATTATCTGATAATTTATGTCACCCGCTTTACTTGTTCGAAGCCAAAGAACAGAAGTGTAAATCGTAAACGAATACACAAATATACCTATAATATTTTAAGCATACTGTATGTAAATAATTATATAATTTTTATAATTAGTGAAAATGACGTGAAGTAAAATTAAACATTGATTTCATACTAAACATCAGCTCATACTCTCTGAGAAAATTACGGGTGTCACGAAACATCTTGTAAGCAAACTTACGAAGCATAAAAAACAGATAAAAGAATCCAAATGTAATCGAAATTCGCAGAAATTGTTCTCTATGAGCTGCATATCTATACTGAGATTGATCAAAAATAGCTGTATTGGCAGCAAAACTAAAGCTCACAGCTAAAAATGCGTGTCCAGACATGATTATAATGTGATAAACATATCCATAGGTAAGCCATTTAAAATTAATTAATTCTCGTCCATTCAATGATTTATAAATATCTCTGTTCATTGTTTCAACAAATGGACTAGGTTGAGGTAGAAGAAGATCAACCCACCATTTATAATCTTGTGGGTAATTAGCGAACTTAATATAAGGAACAATAAAGGTAATTTTTGGTATATCTATTGGAGTCAATATACTTTCTGAAGAATTACTGCGATCTTTATAGAATTTTTTATACAATTTATGCAATGGATAACCATACTTTGTCCATAAAATAGATCCAGTTAGATTAACCATTTGAGGAGGACTTGTATAATGACCTCGATATTCTATTTTGTAAGAAGGAGAATCAATAATCAGATTAGTTTCTAATGAAAATCTTTCAATATATTTTGGAAGACATTTATTCAGCAATGGCATTGCAGAAGTAATAATGCTTAAAAATATTCTGTTGTTTCTCAAATCTTGTTTAAAATGGTTCATACAATTTTTGTAGATATCATCTATTAATTCTAAATCATGTTCTTTGATTGCGAATACTAATAATTTGGCACCATATTTTATAAGACTCAATTTATTATTTATTAACTCTGAAACCCATTTGTTTAATTTAAAGCTATCATGATTTGGTAAAGGTAAAGTAATTTCTGAGAATACTTTTTCAAAATCCTGTGACAAAATCATATTCAAATTCATATAATAAAAATATGTTAAAGAAACATTATTATTAAAATAAT